AGCAAATGCATTTGCGCCCATTTGTGCGCTCATGGGCGTGCTGGTCTGAAAATGAGGTGTATTCAGGCGCATTGTTGGCGCCTTGCTATTTTGAGGCAACTGAAATAGACTGCACCATTAATAAAAGAACCAAAGACTTAAACTACTTCAGTCTGTGTGCATTGAATTTATTTAATACACGAGTTTCACAATTTGAGTTGAATTACTGAAATAAATGAACTTTTCCACGACATTCTAATTTATTGAGATGCACCTGTAAATACAAAAATGCCTACATGTCATAATGGATAGTTATTGCATGCATCAGAATTTGGCTACCTATTTGCTAGCACACGAGCATCTCCGTTTCATCTATGCGCTTGCAAATTCCGCCATGTAAATAGCAAATCCGCCATGGCACGAGCGCAACTGACTCTTAAAGGGAATGGGAGATGAGACTCTGATTGGTTTATTGCATGTTATGCCCAAAACACACCCATTACTCATTAAAAGAATAGGGACAACCCTTTTAGAACATGCGCCGGGCACGCCGACCGTTTTTCCTGTCGTTAAACTAGCAAAAGTGGATTTGGACATGCCCTAAGTGCACCTGCCCGTGCGCTTTAGACCTTGTGCTTAGATTGTTAAAATACGTCTCTAAATTTTCGGCACCACTAGTGGTAGCAAATGGAATTCCAAAAAGAATGGCTTAATTCGGAATAGCATACTATCCTACTTTTTCTATTTCAGCCAAATAAAGATATTCCAAAATCAGCCATTGACTGTTTTCAAACAGGTTTCCTGAACACTTTCACTGTCTGTCATTGGTTAGAAAAACAGATAGTCCCACCCCTAAACACTGAATTCATCAGCCTCTTCCTTCATGCTGCATCACTGTGTTACTTAAGTGCTAGCTTGTTGCTTAGTTAATTATGTTTCATTGGTCCACGGTTATACGTGCTAAGGTGATACACTACTATTGGTCAAAAGTTTGGAATTTTCAGCATCATTACTCCAGTCTTCAGTATCACATGATCCTTCAGAGATCATTATAATATGCTAATTTGATGCTCAAGAAACATCTCTTAATAGTATCATCAATGTTGAAAACAGCTGTGCTGCTTAATAATATATATATATGCTGCTAAAAAAAATACAAATACTTTTATTCAGCAAGGATGCATTTATTTGATCAAAAGTGACAGTAAAGAAAATAATAATGTTACAAAATATGTTTATTTCAAATAAATGCTGTTCTTTTGAACTTTCTGTTCATCAAAGAATCTTGAAAAATATATATATATATCACGTTTTCCACAAAAATATTAGGCAGCACAACTGTTTTCAACATTGATAATAATAAGAAATGTTTCTTGAGCAGCAAATCAGCATATTAGAATGATTTCTGAAGGATCATGTGACACTGAAGGCATAAAACATCAAGTGACACTGAAGACATAATGATTCCAAACTTTTGAACAGTAATTTATTTATCTCTGTATGCAACCGCACCTCTACCGGGAGAGAAATGCACGTTTTGTCTCTAAAAAAGAGACCTGTTCTCTGACTCGACTGGAAACCACTGGAAATTTCCAAGAAGACCTGTAAAGCTCATGCCTTAGGCAAAAACATTGCAGCTTAAGTCATCCACCTTGTAGTTTGGACTCAAGGGGAAACGTTTTAACCTGAGGTAAACACAACTCTGGAGTCTGTGATATGCCATTAGGTAAATTACTAGCACTCAGTCAAACAGTGTGTTATCATGACGTTTCTACTTAGGGTGTAGCAGTTGCATCACCGTATGTAGTAAACGTGACATCAGATAGACAGACAGACAGACAGACAGACTAACTGACTGATAGATAGATTTGTATAGATATATAGATATATGATGACACATTTACTACTGCACATACAGACTTTAAAACACTGTAATTTGCCATGTATAATTTCAAAGTAAGCATTCACTTATGTGACTGGAATCACTGTAAACTGGCAAAATCTTAGTGGGAGAGCTGGGATATATTGTGTCCTGCTGCATAACTTTCATTTCGAGTAAGGCCATGTGTTACAACGTACATAATGTTCATTCTCCACAGGGTTTCTAAGATTGCCTCTAAGAAGAGGAGGAAGAAAACAAGACAAAAAAGGACTTCAGATAATTGCGAAAACACAGCCATAAAAGTTGTGCTGAATGGAATTACTCCCCACAGTTTTAAGATTAAATGTGAAAAGGTGAAAATGTTATATTAAGTTTCCACTTTTAGCCACACTGCATAACAGCAAAGCTTGAGATCCTCATTTTAGTAAATCTATAAACTGTAGAAAAAATACTGTATCTCAAAAGTAAGCATTTCAAAAAGTTCTCACATTTCTCACATCTCTGTAAAATGTCACACTATCACTCAGTTGTGCCGTTTCAGTCTCACTCAGGCTGAACTAATGAAGGAAACACGGCAGTGAGAGACGGGCTTTTCTTTTGCACGTCACACACACCTCAGAGAGTTTAATCCATGCAAATCTCAGAAAGATATTTTTCCTCAAGAACGTCTTTTTTATGTTGTAG